TTGTGTGAATCAAACCTAGTACAAGACGATAGAGAGAGGCTGGGCCTGTGGCCAAGCTGGAGACCATATGCTGCACCTAAATACATTCAAATTCAACATTTTTGAGAACCTCTGGCTGGTCAAGCAAAACATATCTGCAGGCTCAATTGGCCCACAGACCACAAATTTGGAGTCCCTTGTCCAAAGACATTTAACGCTTCTACAGGACAGAACTTTGATAAAATTGACATGGGGGTTGGAGGGTAGGTATGTGATTCTAGAGATTTCAACAATGTAGTTTCTCTGTTTCTTAAAATAGATGAGGTTCTTTTTCTCTGAATGGTGACTGATAAGCATAAAAAGATGAAGTCACTTTGGATACAGGCTTACCTAAAGGTAGGAAATATATTCTATAATAGGCAATGGTTGTCTTCACCCTCATAGAGCCAGGTTTGTGTCTGCCAATGTGTTAGGTCCTTGTTTATGTTGCTATACTATTTGAACATGTTAACAAGGGTGATATTTGGGATATAGAATATGATTTTATGAATTAGTGCATCAAGAAAGCCCTACATAGGTCTTTCTATCATATTATTAACTCAAATATACAATTTTTAATGTGGCTGTTTTGAATGTTTATTACAGTGAACCTTTAAGATAAAGGAAATTGGGGATTGAGTTACAGCAGATGTATCTTTTTCTGTGGACTCTCTGGGGATAAATACATAAGTAGATTCCTAAATAGGTACAGGTTGCTTCATATTCACTCCAGGCAGCAAGGAGAGGTAGTAAGGCAATCAATCAAAGGCTGACAGGTACATCGAAGTGTCCCACAGACTTTTGCACTAAAATTATTGAAGAATATTACTAATGTAATCAGACAGAATTCTGATTAAAACAGTTAATTAAATAAAGAGACAAAATAATTTTGGGAAAACTACTAGTTTCATTTCTTGATGCCCAAGAGATTATCCATTCTACTTTTGTGAGAGATGACAAATAATTAATCAAGCAGATAAGACTTTTTTAAATGACCAACCTTGTGACACAAATGAGATTGATTTCAAATGTCTGCAGATTTTATACATACTGAATCATACAAAATCGATTATGGTTGAGAATTGTTGTATATTTTATTCTAACTCCTTGATAATTAGTGACCTATCTTTGGGACATAAATCAACTCCTGGTTATAAAGAGTTGTCATTAACTAGGACATCTAGTTTGTTTTTATAGGTAAAGACTTTGGTATTTTTATGTACAGTATTTAATAAGCCCCAGGTTTGTTATTTTTGACAATACTACCCCAATGTCACTTTTAATACAATACCTTCCCTTTACTGACACAAGCTTTATACTGTGGTAGAAAAATATCAAGAAAAAACATGCTAGTTAACATCTCATGAGAAAGGTAATTTGTAATATGAATATTTGTGAAACTGAATTTTCAACCAAGGGAGTAAACTTTTGTTTCAGGGTGCATGAAAGCAAATGAAAATATTAAAAGAGCTGGTTAAGATCTGAAATATACATATATATGAAATATATTAGCATTTTATATACCGATATCATAATAGTCATACTATTAACATTAATTATATTATTTTAAATATATTAATTTCCTTAAAATCAATTAGGTCTTCACTATAGAGCATTCTTGATAAGGGACTGATGAGAAAAGCAAACTCCAACCAGAAGTGTGTCTAGAGATTAGCTGAAGATATACAGCAGTGAGAGGTTGACATATTCTTTTGTGAGAAGACTGTGAAATATAACTGATAATTCAGTTTCTCTGCCACAGTAGGTTGTTGCACATAATTATCCTTAGCCCTCATCAGACCTAAGAGATAGGCCTGACACACCATAGGAGATCAGGTTCTGTGTGCTTAGTTAATGTCCCATCACAGCATGGAAAAGCAAGAAGCTTTGCAAGCTGTGATTACATTAAGGTTCTCTTTTTAATGCTTTTCTGCCATTACAATTCTGAAAAGTGTGGCTGAGAAGTCATACGTGATCTCACTTGCATTAGCTTCCCTTCACCTGCTATTCACACTAGCTTATATCTTATCAAATACCCCAAAATCAGAAGTCCTGGGACATCAGCAGACATTAAAACACATTTTGATATTAATCAGTACTAGAAGAGGGGAAGGGCTAATGGGCAGGCACTAATTAAAGCTCAACATTTCATATTCCCAACAAGAGGAATAAGCACTCAAGAGGCATTTGCGAATCAGTATTTCACCCCAGTATCTTCAGCTACTGTTATTATGAATGAATCTGTGATTTCATTTGTAGTCTACTGGTATTTGGGAAAATGCAGGATGCCAGGGGTTATAACCAACAATTATAGTAAAACACATAAGATTATGATGGTAGCAGACATGTGTTGCTTGTATTCTTCACTATCAAATGAAATAAGGCTCTATATTCTACATCAACAGCTGGGACAGTCAGACAGTAAATTGGAAGTGAGGAGAGAGAACCTATTTTATTAAGTTTACCAGAGTAAAGGAGATTGCTTCTATTATTTATTTCTAATTTATTTTCTAATGCAAATATTTGGTATAACTCATTTGTTCTGTGTGGAATCTAAATCCTTTGGGGAGAAATTTATGAGCTTTTAGTGGAATTTTTTTTCTCCTTAAGAGAGAATGTTTTGTCTGATAGAATGTTTTGTCCTGTGATTTCTGCTATAGGGAATACAGAAGTGAGTAAGACAGTCCATGTTCAGAGTTCTTGATCTATTAAAAGTGGGAGTGGGGGGTAGCACGTAAAATAGTGCATTGCAATATAACAAACGCTGTTGGTAATAAAGATACCTGTAAGTAGGTGTTCCTGGGATACAGAGAAGAGTTCTCTGGGGGGAACATAAAGAAAAGAAGACTAAGTATCCACCAAGATGTTGCTACTGATACCAACCATAGAATAACACATCTTTATAGTTATTTCAGTTGTGGAATTATACATATAATGAATCTAAGAAAGGGATTTCCATCCATACCTGCAATTTCTTTAGTTTTGCTTTTTTCATTTAAAAGAAAAAAGTATTCAGGCCCCATGGGGCTCTCAAGAATAGATAACTTTTGAATAATGCATTCATTAAAAATAAACATCAGATATTAGAGTCAGCCTTAATTGTACATTTTATTTAGTCTGCATTAAACAATGCACGGATTTTACTACAACCAAGAGCATAACATTTAATAGTTTTCAGTTAAAGCCCTTCAGTGAAAGCTTTGGGATAAAACAACTATAATTTCAAAGGAATCAAGCCAACTCGGTGAATTACTATTGCCTGGAACTATCACACATAAAGGAGAGTCATCCCCTCCAATACAGGGGAAGCATACAGAAAACAGGAGAAAGTTAACAGTATCAACAACAGTAAAAAGAGGAGTAAAACAGGTAGCAGGAAACAACAGCATAGGGATAAAAACTTTGTAAAAAATGAGTGAATTACCCATTTAAGATGTAAAAACTTTGCAAGGGGAAAATAATTCAATTTCCAAGTCTCAGCTCTCTCATTAAATGATATTTTTTCCTCTTAACTAGATATTGGTTTTTCTTCTCCAGAGTAAGATCATCTGGTTATTTGTGTGTTTATGGTTCTGTTAATTACTAGTTGGTCTATGACACAAATTTTTGTGTCTATATCCTCAAGGCTTAAAAATAAATTAGGTAGTAGCTCTAAAGAAAATGTGATAGCCCGGGCTGGCCCCGTGGCTTAGCGGTTAAGTGCGCGCGCTCTGATGCTGGCGGCGCGGGTTCGGATCCCGGGAGCGCCCCGAGGCACCACTTCTCCGTCCAACGCGAGGCCGAGTCCCACGTACAGCAACTAGAAGGATGTGAACCTATGACGTACAACTATCTACTGGGGCTTTGGGGGGAAGAACTGAATAAATAAAATCTTTAAAAAAAAAAAAAAAAAAATGTGATAGCCCGACCTTCCTACTGATTTTTAAATGTCTCATGGGTATATATATTAGGACTCAATAACTTTATTACTTGTAAAAAGTAAAGTGAGTAATAACCAACTGAGCAGGGAATTAAGGCTACAAGAATATCTCTACCTACCTGGGCCTCAATTATTCTGATAAGATCGTGATAGGTAGATTTTGAAATAAGAAAACTAAAAGGCATGTTAAATGTTGCTCAGATTAAGATTTTTAACTCCTGATTCTGGTTGACCAGATGGATACCATCTGTATATGGAAGCTAGTAACCAGCAAACTGAGAGCTCTAATGCATGAAGCCTTCCACTATTTATGAAAAGCCCAATGCTGTGTATAACTCATCCAGATCAACTGGTCCCTAGATGCTGATGTTTGGGAAGGGTGTGAGAGAATTACTCAGATTCACATTTAGGGCTTAAAGACTACTGAGAAATGGGAAGATAGTGCGAGAGATATTGACTCTCATCAGAGAAGACTTAAGTAACCCGGTTGATCCTAGAACTGTCCCAGCAAAATCATCCTGCTCAGGGCGAGGCCTGAATATTGCTGGTCCCTGAAGGGTGAGATAAATGAAACATCACATCACACCAGATGCATTCCTTGATTTTTCAGGTAGCACAGCTTTAGAAAAAAACAATTCCAATACCACAAGCTAGACTTATCCTGTTAGCTCTAATGTTTCAAAAGAATTCCAAAACACTAAAACGATGCTTCAACTAATACGTTCTATCACCCCCAAAACAGGATTTTGTATTTTAAATGGCTTACCAAAAAATATATCTTAAAATTTTGTGGTCAATTTCTTTATTTTCTTATACAAACAAAAACCTTAAACTATCTTATTAGTACATTACCATTTTAATAGGTCATCTCTTAGTCTTTATGTGCAGTTTTCACATCATTTTACTCAGTATTTTTAAAAATGTAGTTAACATATTGTAGACATTTTTAATATTGCTGAATATTCTTTGTAATCCTATTTGGTATAATATAATCATGTTCAGAGTTATTTTTGTACATTTACAATGAATTGAACAGACCCACCCCTTCCTCCCCCTACCCCCCCAATTAAAAATAAAAAGGAAAACAGAAAAAAAGAAAAAGACAACAAGAAGAAATAAGATTAGGTTCTGGGAGGAGAGAAACTCTAATCATTCAAGTGTGGGGATGCAGAAGTCAGCTTTCTGCACCCATTCTCCATTACAAAAAAACTTTCTGGGACTACTGCTAAACATTTTCTAAAACTTTTCAAGAAGCTCCCGTAGATTTCTGGATCTGTTCCTTTAAAATCAGGATGCTCTGCCTTTGCTCAGGAGGCAGCATGGCAATCTGATCTGCAGTCAGTTGAAGAACCTGCATGATCAAAGCTGCCTTTTCCTGATCCTGGGGAGTTACTTGGCTCTGCCCAGGACTAAAACTGCTAGGCTGGCCTCCACCTTGCTTGCCTGCCCCCTGCATGCCTGTTCCTTGTACGCCCGCCCCCTGCATGCCTACTCCTTGTATGCCTGCTCCCTGTATGCCTGTTCCTTGTATGCCCGCTCCCTGCATGCCTGTCCCTTGTATGCCCGCTCCCTGCATGCCTGCTCCTTGTATGCCTGCCCCCTGCATGCCAGCTCCAGGATTTCCCACCCCTGAAATGCTTGGGACCTGTCTGGGTCCCTGAGGACCACCTGCCCCCATATTAATGGGTCCAGGACCCTGGATTCCACCAGTCATAGGGCCTCTCGAACTGGGGCCAGGGCCCCTTATCTCCATTCCTCTTGCATCCATGCCTCTTGCTTCCATTCCTCTGGTTTCCATTGCACAGGTCTCCATTCCTCTTCTCTCCATTACTCGTGTCTCCAAGACCTCAGTTTCCATGGCTCGAGTCTCCATCCCTCGAGAATCTCTACTACCTCTGCCATCCATAGGTAGGCCCCTTTGATCTATCATAGGTCCTCTGGGCTCTCCAATTAGCAGTCTGGGATCTGCTAATGGCCCTCCCCTCATCTCATGTGAAGAAGGGCCACGGTTGTCATGACCAGAGGCATGGTGCATAGGGGGACCCTGATGAGGTGGACCAAGATAGCCTCTGGGCTCTACTTCTCCAGTGACTGAAAGCAAAGTCCCTCCACGTGGGTCATTGGGAGCATCTCCTAACAGTCCTCGAGGAGGCAGGCCACCAGCAGTCATGGGTCCACGAGGCATAGGCGCTCTAGGATCCGACATCTGCACCTGTCCTCGCTCTAAAGGCACCGGACCAACCCCTGGCATTCCAACTTGGGGCTGCATTGCTCCACCAGGAGTTAAGGAACCGGGACCAGGTCCAGGAACCCCGGCTGGTATTGGCCCCGGGGCTGGAATTCCACCCTGGATCGGGGTCTGCATCAGAGGAGGGATGTCTTTCACAGGTCTTCTAGCCAGATGCTGAGGCTGAGGGGTTGGAGGATTCTGCTGGTTGAGCAGAACATTAGGACCTGGGCACAGCCCAGGACCCGGGCCAGGGCCAGAAACAGACTGAGATTTGCCTGGGATGAGTGGTGTGACATGTATCTTGCGATGCAGAATTTTCAGAGCAATCTCTGGATCCATGATTCTCATCACTACTTGTGCCTGCAACAGTGCATAAGCCAGCTGTGGGTTTTGAAGTAACATGTTTCGAGCTTCCTGGTGGCTGTTTTGGACACAGAGCTTCATCTGCTTCATCAGCTCAAACATCTGCTCCGGGGGGAGACTAGCAACTGCTCTGGTAATTGATTCTGGGGCATCTTCTGGATCGATGGGGTCCCCATAGGGTGAGTCAATGATGGGCGCTGCAGGCCCTAGGCTCTTTAACTCCTCCTTGTTCTTCTCACTGGCAGCATTGTCCACCCGAAGCGCTCTCCCGCTGAACTCCCGCCCGTTCAGGTTCCGCATGGCACTAAGCGCGGTTTCCTGGTCTTGATACTCGCAGAAGCCATAACCCTTGGGTTTTCCGGTCTCTCTATCGTACACCAGCCGGAAACTGACAACAGAACCAACCTCTGAGAAAATGTCCTTTAACTGCTCCTCAGTTGCCTCATACGGAATGTTCCCCACGAACACGGAACGCAGTGATCTATCCATTGCTGGGTCTCTCACCGCCAAGCTCGACATGATTCCCGTTGTGCAGACACGGCGGAGAACGGATTCTTCCCAGAGTCGTCCTTTTGCGACCCACACTTCCGCTGAGCAACGGAAGCAGCTTTTAAACTCCGGGCAGAAACCTCAGTGGTCGGCTTGAGTCGTTCCGCGAAATCTGCGCCTCTTTGTTCCACTAACTTAATTAGCTAATGCTTTCTGCCCTTGATCGTTTGTGGTTCTTTCAGCTCCTTCTTACCCAGACGCAGGACTCCTTTCTCGTCTCTTAATCCGCAGACTTTCCATGGCGCGCCACCACCCCCGCCAGGAAAAGCCCGGTGCGCCTTGACCCCAGTAAAGATGGCCGCATAGACTTCACCATGGTAACCAGCAGAGGCGGCCTCCTTTGACGTCAGGGGCGGCTTTGTTTCCGTTTGCCGGCGGGAAACCGCCAACCGAAAGCTAAGGCGGTGTGTTCTTCGGTCTGCTGGAAGGGTTTTCGTATACCAGTGTCTCCTTATATTTAAGCTATATTTAAAATCACATTCTAGACCAAGAGGGGAAAGTGTAGTCGTTTCAAAACAGATTTGGGATTTGCTCCTGAAAATACAAAAGTAATCGCTCTGTTTTAGAAAAACATTTTTGGAAAATACCTGCCCCGAAATACACGCCGCGCAAATGAGCCTGCTCCATCCATCCCCGCCGCCATCTGGTTGCTTCGGATAACCGCTGTTTGATAGGCGACGGGACCGGCCAGGTTTTCCTCTCTGCATCCAGGCAGCAGTCGAGCTATTCATAATATTACCCTTTTTTCCCTTAATTATATTAAGTGGTATTAATGATTAATAATAAATAGCATTTAAAGACTGCAGAGCGTGAATTAAATGAATTTATTCTTATACTGGAGGCATTTAGATTGGTTCTGATTATTATAAACTGAGGCAATGATCTCACACCTCTACTATGAAGGGAAAAACAAACTGTAGTTGTTTCTAGTCTGTTAGTTTTGCCGGCAGAAGTTGAAACATATGTGGAGCCTAGGTTTTTTCCCCCGTTTAACAGACGATAGAACTGAAACTTGGGGAGACCTAGGTAATTTGCTAAGCAGCCAGTAAACGGCAAAGCCAGAATTCTTCTGCCGGTTGGTCTGTTGCAGCTCCAGAGGTGCGCTGCTGCATGTGGCAGCCGCCAGCCACTTGTAGCTATTGGGTACTTGAAATGTGGCTAGTGTGATTAAGAAATTGAACTTTTAATTTTATTTAATTTTTATTAATTTAAATATAAAAACTGATTCAGTTAGGCTAATGGAAAACTTTTTAGGATGTTTGGGTATGGAATCTACTTTTGCAATGATAAATTTTATTAAATCAAAATAAAAATCAAGTATTTACAGTTAAAATTTAGCATTCTGATTGGGATGTGCTATACGTGTAAAATACATGCAAGATTTTGAAGACTTAGGTATAAAAAAAGTTAAAATATGTCTAATTTTGTATTGTTTACATGTTGAAATGATATTTTTAATATATTGGATTAAACAAAATATATTTTAACATTAATATCACTCATTTCACTTTACTTTTTTTAATGTAGTTACTTAGAAAAATTAAAATTATATATATGGATTGCATTATATGTTTATGAACTTCACTGTTCCAGAGTCTGTCTTACCTCTTAATTCTACATATGCCCTTTGAGGAGCTTATGAAACTTTGTTTCATCAAAAAATTGTGTTATGTTCTTGGGTGTCATAGTCCAATGAATAGATCTGAAATGATGGGTTTAGCTACAATTTAGACAAAACATCCATTTACCTTCAAGTGTTTTAATAATTCTTTAAAACAGGCTTGGACATAGCTATTTACTCAAGGTGCATGATAATTTATATCTGCAAGTAATAAAGTGTATTTATATGACCTAATAAAATCTTCCTGGTACGTGAAAGAAACAGAATAGCCACTTGCTAGTAATGGTTTTTCCCTCCTGATTCTTTTATTGGAGGTGGGGCAGGGGTGGAGAGAAGTTGAGGATGGTATTATTTTGGAAAACTAAAAGCAAGTCCATTTGTCTCCTTTCCGTACCATCCCTTTGCAGAGAGAAGCCATGACTTTTCTACACACAGTCTGTCAAGGACGACTTAGACATCGGCCATGTGTGTAATGGTGTGTGTATTAAGTGTAGTAATCCTAAGGATAATAAGAGGCTATTAGAATAAGTTGTAAAGTTCATGATAGGTTGCACAGATTATTTGACAGAGTTTCTTTGCTGGTGCTGATAGTATCTAAACAAGTGGTCCTCACACTTGAGCATGTGTCAGAACCACCTGGAGCCTGGTTTAAGTCCGATTGCTGGGCCTCACCACTGCCCCGCCTCAGTTCTGATTCAGTGTTTCTAGGGTGGGACTGGAGAATTTGCATTTCTAACGAGTTCTCAGGTGATGCTGATGCTGCTGGTTTGGGGACCCCCACTTTAAGAATCATTGATCTAAACGAAAGGACTTGAAGTGGTTTTGTTTTGTTTTGTTTTGTTTTGTTTTCGGTTTATGTCAGGCCAACGTAAATTTAGTACACTGTTAAAAGGTATGAGATATGAGTGGTCTTTAAAAAATCTATTAATATTTTAATGCTGATCCAGTATAGCTAGTACATGCTGATCCCACGCTGAAGATACTCTGGGCACAAAGGATGCGTGAACAGAGTAGCTGAGGAACTCTGGGGATGAACAAGAAGGGAGAAGGCATCACTGTAAGAGTGTGATTTTTGTCACAGGCCTTCCATGTTCTGTTTAGTCCCCCTATTCAAAACCAGAAGAATGGTTTAATATGGCCCTTCAGAGAGGACCATTGTGACCCAGCACATAGCTCAATGCCCAGGATACATAAGCTAATATTTATTAGTAACTGAGTGGCCCAGAATTACCAAGAGCTGTTAGGAACCTGTGCACGTTCCCTGGTACCAATACATACTTTTCATAGATCTACCTTGGAAGAACTTCCATTTTATACTGCTTTCTTTGTTCCCAGGATGTTTAAACTTTAGATTTTTATAGCATGGCATATACTTTGAAGAAAAATGTACATGGCATCTTGCATGTTCAAACGTTGATTCTTTCAATAAATCAAAATATCAACTGTACTAAGAATGATTTTTAAACAAACACATCAGAGCATATGGCCAAGTGGGAGCTGTTCTTCAAACTAACCACCTTCAGAAACTATAAACGTAATCCATAAGGCTTCCATTGTTCAAGTGAACGCCTACCCTGAAATTGTTTTAGGGCTCCATTTGAAAGTCATACTAGAAAACTGCTGCCTTAACTCAAAGGTATACCTTGTTTTCTTTTTATTTTTTAATTTTTTTTTTAATTTTTATTTATTTATTTTTCCCCCAAAGCCCCAGTAGACAGTTGTATGCCACAGCTGCACATCCTTCTAGCTGCTGCATGTGGGACGCGGCCTCAGCAAGGCAGGAGAAGCGGTGCGTTGGTGCGCGCCCAGGATCCGAACCCGGGCCGCCGGCAGCGGAGCGCGCGCACTTAACGGCTAAGCCACAGGGCCGGCCCGGTATACCTTGTTTTCAACCAAGAGTTATGCAACTAAATCACCTAACTTTCTGACCAGACTTGGCAAAAATATGATATTTAGCTATTTCCAAACATCAAAACTTACATCAGAATACAAAGATTCTGTAGACTTGCGGGTATTAAAAAAGATTCACCATAGATTAATTAGACAAATTCCAAAACGAGGTACTAAAAATATTTTTAGTTATGACAGGCATTTTTGAAATAAGTGTATGGGTCCTTCAAAGAATAGATCAAATACACTCCCCGATGAAGTTCTCTCTAATCTTACTCCTTCTTCCTCTAGGTTGGAAGTGAGTTCATTTTCCTTTGGATATAAACCATTCCTTATCCATACCTTTCTGATGATAGTAACTCTTCTACTTTTTAGTAGAATTATGATTTTTCCTTCTAAACTATGACATCATTCAAGGAAAGAGCTAGATTTCCCTTTGTCAATTAACAAAGTGACATATTAATTCTCTTCCATAAATATTTATGAAGAGACTAAGCCAGGAGCTAGGAATAGCCAAGACATGAAATTGAAACCTAGTGTTTTTGATGCCCTCAGAGGAAACCAATAGAGAGTTCGTGAGTAGTGTGATAAAAGATTGTCTTTTGGGACAGATTACAAAAGGTTTTGAAGATCAGATTCATGAATCTAAACTTGATGTGAGAGTCAGTAGGCTTTCTTCCATCTTTCTGAATCATGAACATAGAATAAAAATGGCAGAGGTTTAAGAATACCAATTTTATCCAGTCCTTCTCCATGATATCTTTTGGACTTGGACTATCCTTTTTACATCATTATAATTTTTTAATCTAATGTAGCAGTGGCTCTTCCTATATTTAACATCTTCTATAACATGGCTTCATTCTCATTACTCACTTGCCGCCTTCATATATTCTCCTCTGGCTAAATTGTACCCCTCATTTTTCACCATACATGATCTGTGCTTTTCCACCTTCTAGCTTTTGCTCCTAGCTTTTGATCTACTATTCCTTCTTTGAGGATGTCTTCTTTTCCGTCTTTCTCTCCTCATCTCTCCATGTCTAAATCCTTCTTGTCCTTCAGTTCTCACCCTAAAGACTTTCCTTTTAAAGTAGAGTATTGATTTGGCACCCATTATTTTCTATATTGTAATAGAGGTGCTAGTATTCTTGTGTTACCACTTAAACACAGACCCATATCTGATTTATTTTGTTCATATTGCTTAGCCCAGTGCCTTTTATATTCCAAGCACTCAGTAAATATTTTTAAAATTAATACAAAATCATCTTGTAATAACAGATTACATGTTAACAAAATGATAATTTAATGCTTTCAGCTTACAGAACACTTTTCTTTGGGCTCCCACATCTGATCTTGACAACAATCATGTGAGGTATATACAGTTGTATTCTGATTTGAAAGATGTTTTAACAGAGAACTGTTACCTAGAACTTTAACAATGGACTCACTCAAAATACAGATACTATTCATAAAAGCTAACTCTGATCACTTAATAGGAAGGAGTTCCTCTGATAAGTGCTTTATAAAATACAATATTTTATTTAATC